TATATCAATCTCATCAATATAATTTAGTTCAGAATATTTCTACTCATTCTGGCCAAAGGTATTATGAACTCAAGTATCTGAAAGAGGACAAGGGAAAGTTGGCATGAAGGGATTTTTACTGACCTCTGAAATCTTAAAAAATGTTCTGCATTTCTAATGCATTTTGCGAATGTTTAAATTCACATTTACTTTGATGTTCTTTTAATTGCTTTTATTAAAATGGCTTAATAGAATATTTAAAAATAATTGTTTTATGGATCCTTAGAAAGGGTACACATTCCAATCTCAAAAACTTTAGAGTTTTTAGTTGAAGGAGATTAAGTAAATAATTCAGAAATGCATTCTATTTACCTGTTAAAAATTAAGCAGGTTAGACTGTGTACTTTTTTATAGTCATTGAATTTTAATTTATTTATTTGTTGGTATGTTGACTTTAAGAATTTAAGGCATTCAGCTATTGGGAAATAAAAATAAACAGAATAAAGCTGCACATAATAAAAGGAATGGGCTTGGGTTACTTTTAAAGGGACAAGTGAGAAAAAAGACATTGATTGGATTTTAGGGTTAAAAACACCATTTAGTACATAATCTTTCTGAACTTTTCCCCTCTGTTTGGAAGGGAAACTGAAATACCTAACGGCAAGTATAATTGAGTCAAGTGAATGGTCTTTTGTTGTTTCCCTAGAACTGTGGCTCAATGGAATTCAATTTGATTTTAGATGGCTTTAGTATGGGGTTTAGCCAGGTCACTTTTATAGATGCTTGGAAGAAGTCTACCATAGAACTTATCAGATTTCTCTGGTGTTTTAAAAACTCTAATAATACCCAAAGCCAGAATGAATACCTCCACTTCAAGAAGCACCATTATGGGTGGACTAGAATTAAATTAGGCTTTTTCTGTCTTAGGGAGGATGCATCTTGTCCTCTTGGCCATGAATGTACAGGTTCTTTCTGATGTTCTTTAAGGATTATAAATTGGTTTTCATTTGCCAGTTTTGATGAGATACAGCCAAACTTCATATTTAATTTTTTACTTAACGAAGACTTTATTTTTCTAATTATTGATAGAAAATAGTCTTTAGCTGTTTCTGTTCATTTTGCCCTAATGTATTATAAAATTTAATCTATGTAGTTAACAGAGGCGGCCTTTACGAGAAATAGGGACAGGTAGACATTTTCAAGTGGCTTTCTTTACATTCAGGAAACTTAATAATATATTTAGTTTTTTCTGCAACATACAGCAAGCGTCTTGTTTTAGTACTTTTTTTGTTTATAAAAGGTAATTTGTGTTTCTTGTAGAAAATTTGGAAAGGGATTGTAAGAAGAAATGTACCTGTCATAATCTTAATATCTGAGATAAGTATTAGGAATAATTTAGTTTATAGGTGTTTACATGCTTTTTCTAATACATGTTTTTTTCTAAAACATGTTTTTTCTAAAACATACAGATCTACATTTATATATACAGATGATCAACAATTGTGTATAGTTTATATATGTATATATTATATATAAACATATTAAAAATTATATTTTATCATTATTTTACAACCTGATTTTTGGCATATTGTAAATATTGTAAATTTAATAAAAGCTTATTCTATCACATATAATTATTTAATCAGTTCACTATCATGGAATATTTAGATTATTTTAATTTGCATTTCTTTCATTGTTATTACACATTAATATTATTCCATATATATCTTAGCTTGCGTTTCTCTATTAGGAATTGTCTGTTCATTTGAAAAAAATGATATTTCATTTATTTATTTATAGATAGATAGAGACTATTAACCTTATGAATATCCTATGCATTAAAATATTTTTATTTGTTGTTGGCCTCTTAATTTTGTTGAAGGTATTTTGGGACTTGAAAAACATGTTTTATTTTAAGTAGTCAGATTCATAAATCTTTGTTCTTATATACTCATATATTACTGCTATGTGCCTCAAAAGGCCTTCTCACCTTGGAGCTCAGAAGGTTATATACATATTTTTTCTTAAAGCTCTTTGATTGTTTTACTTATTATATTCAGATATATCAATTTGATTTATATTTTGGTTCCTGGTAAGAGGTAGAGAACAAAATTTTTGTTTTTCGTATAGCCAATTATCTCAACACTGTGGAGATAGTACCTGTAATGTTTACCCTATACTGGAGTCCTATGGTCTGTTCTAGTGATTTGTCTCTTGCACTGCCAGTATCACACTGTCACTTATGCATATATTTCAGTCTTTGGTTAAAACTAACCTTGCTCTTTACTCCTTTGATGCAGGGCCAAAACCTAACACTTGATATTTTGTCTGTTGTAATCTTCTATTTTGTATTATTATTATTATTATTATTATTAACTTGAACTAACTGTAAAGCATTGGAACTACTAAAGATAATTTTAGTTCAATTCAGTTCAACAAAGATTTATTGACTGCTATATATCAGGCCCTGTGCTTGTAATAGGAACAGAGAAAAGAATCAGATACCTGTGTAGTAGACTACTTGCACTAGAAAAATGTATTCATCTGATGGAGGCACACAGAGTATGTAAATGGCAAAGACAGTGGCCTAATATTAAAAACTTGATTTTTTTATGATTCTTCCTTATTCTTTTTTAAAAATCTATGACTTGTTGGCTGTAGCCATTTTATGTAGCTTTCCCTTTTTTCTTTCTTTTTAATCCAGAAATGATTAACTATTAAGCGACATTGATTTAACAGAATTAAATTGACTCAGGCATATGAAATACGGTCTTTTTCATATTCATATAGTCTGTTTACTTTTTTTCTAATTAATGAACTGGTAATTGTGTCTTCCTATTTTTAGTTCTATAAATGTTTATTGAATTCTTGCTAGGCACTATTTAAGGAGCTGTAGGGAAATAAAAATGAATGAGTGTCTGACAAATTTATAATCTAGTGGGGGAATTTATAGAAACAATAGCAACATAATAAAATAATAATTATTGAGAATACTGTTTGCTATGTGCTAGCCATTGGACTGAGAAAGGTAATGTGTATCTTGTTAAATCCTTATAAGAGCCCATATAGTCCTCCTGATGTTTTTTTTGAGTCTCTCCCTTGCTTCACTCAGGCATTTTCTAGTGTCATCTCTGAGAAGCTAACCTGTTCAAACCTATCAAAAATATCAGCCCATGTAACTCAATGCTGTTACCTTGTTGTTTGCCCTAATTATATGACCTTATATGTCCAACAACTTATTTGCCTGTTGTTTGTTTCCTCTGCTAGAATGAATATTGAGTGGAAGACTATAAACAATGGGTTGTAGAAGTTTGGAGTTGCAAAGGGCGAAGTTTAATTTAATTCATAACATTTAGCTTCTTTAAGCCTAAATTTCTTTTTCTGTAGATAGCTGGAGACTTAGTGCCTGTTTCATAGGTTGGTGAGGCTGTCCTTTCTTTCATTTAGTAAACACGCATTGATCTCCTACTATGTGTCAGACACTATTCATGGAAATGGGGGATACCGTAAAAAAGACAGTGCCTGACCTTATGGAACCCTCATTGTAATGGGGGAGACAGACAATAAATAAATAAGAATTACTTTTTTTTTTTAACGTATCATGTAATGGCCAAATGAATTTTCTCCCAAGTGTCCTTCCCTACCTCAGACCTACAATCTGAACACTTTTTTTTTCTTTTTCATTACTAGTTATCCTCTGTTTATCAAATGAATGGTTCATATCTCAGTCATCCTAATTTTCGGTGCCTCTTTTAAAGTTTGGTGTTGCAGAATTAGTGTGATATTACTCACGTATCCTATATATAACAGGACTATCACCTTCCTTTTCTGGATCCCATTAATCAATTAGTACAACCTAAACTCAGGTTTGTTTTGGTTTATTGGTGTGGTTTGTTGTTTGATTGTTTTCCCTTTGTAAAATATTGTTTATGCATATTAAAGACCCAATCAACTAAAATCTTTAGATTTATTATTATTTTTTTCATTTTGGTGGGTCTTTTACTATAGATGTACTGGTTTGCAGGATTGTCTTATGTTTATGTATGCATTTCCATTAGTAAAACTGCTTCTGAGACTTCTAATGGCTGAATCTCTGTGGAGATTATTAGTAAATATGACCGCAAGGTCATCATTGAGATTTCATAGCAAATTTGGATCACTTTCCAACAACATACAATATCAAACTTAATTTTTAATAGGAGAGTTGTTTGCAGTTAAATCTTTTTATATTCAAACTCACCAAATTGGTTTTAAAGGCATCTCAACATCCTGCCTGCTCTACTGCTCCCAGTCCCACCTTTGATTCTATACTACCAAATGCATTTGGATGGAAGGGAATTTAAAAGTGACTCATGCATTTGTTTAACATCCTTGCCTCCAAATCTGAAAGCCTTGCTTGCTAAGACAGGACACATAAAGCCATATTCTAATGTCTGTGGATAAGGTACTATAGACCAGTTCCTGCTATTTTGAACATGTTACTCACTTCTCTCTATTTCTATCTACCCATTTACTTTGTATTCTCTTTGGATTATCTTTTTTATGCATATTTCTCCAACCTTAGTCACTATTTTGAGGATAGGGCCTGTGTCTTATTTACCTTGTATACTTTCTAACTCACCAGTGCTTACCAATATGTTACACATAGTAGATCTTTGCAAAATATGTAAGAAAAGAAACAAATAAATGGGATAAAGTCTATTGGGCATTAGTTTTTTTAAAACTATAAAAATATAAATGTAAAAACCTTTATTTGTGTAAATTAAGGAAACGGCTAATGATACTATAATAAATAACCTGTTCTCCATGTAAACCATGTACACACAATGGTTCATATTGTATATTTGTGCCACATTTTACTGAATACTTGTTCTGCACGTGTACAAATGAACGTGTCAGTCTTTCTTTTTTCTTTTTTTTAATTATACACATTAGTTGACATACACAAACTCATAAAGATCTTATGGAAATCTAAATTGTTTCCTTGGCAGACTTTTAATTTTAAGTATTTCTTTTTACAGTCACACAAAAGAAGTGTTAAGAATTGCCCTTTGAGACTCTGAAGGCTGAAGGTAATGTCCAATGATATTTTCTTGAATGGGTTTTATCTTCTTGAAAAGTATCATAATGTTTAAGACTGGGTTTACTACCTCAAGGCTTTCTTTTATTGCCCTTGAGCATATTAGATATCTTTTTCTATGTCTGCTTAAAATAATCTAAAATTCTAAGTCAATAAAGAAGAAAGCTTGTGTCATCTCAGAATATCTCGGTCTAACTGGATATTGCTGTTCCCCTTCTTCCTTAATAAGGGAATGTATTAGGCCCCTCCCCTTTTAAATTGTTTTGGAACTCTTCTGATTTTATACCCTGCCCTTTTCGTAAAGACATATTGGCTCAAAGCCAAAAAGCCAGTACTAGTCCTCATCAGGAAGAGCTTTGCAACGAACTATAAGAAACAAAAATGCATTTGTGGGGGACAACAAAACTGTTCAGATGAGATTTCATTAGCTACTAAATTCCAGAATTTCAGGCCAAAGTCCAGAATTTCAGGCAGGAAGTTTACAATAGACTTGTGGCACTGCATTGTATATAAAGAGCTCATACGGATTGAAGAAGGTTTCTTAGACAAGAGGGGGCTGTAATTACTTTGCTTCTTACATGCATGGTTAGATCTTCTAGTGAGAATAACATGGTAGGGTAATTTATTATAGAAGAGTAAATCACAGATTACATTGGAGGGGGACGGGGTGGTGTGATCCAGCCATCAGTTTTGTGAATACATACACTTAAGCATGTGTGATAGCTTGTTTTTAATTTCTTTACACCAGTGCACACCTCAAACATTCCGTTTAGCAGTGGGATATGCAAATTATTCCAAATGCAGCAGCAGTACTTTCACCTGAATGTCAAAACTGTCAGAGAGCTTTAAATCAAATCTTTATAACATTTTTTAAAAACCAGCCAGCCCCAAGAATGAGGCACCAAACTCACTGCCAAAAGTTGATTCCCATACTTTTCAAAAAGCTCCTGTGTGTCAACAGGGTAATGTCAAAGTTCTAATTCACCTGCTTTCTAATTTTAACCTTTTAAAGATTTTATTTTATTTGGCTTAATTATGATATTTTCTACAAATTAATGATAAATGCCTTGATTAATAAAACCAAATGTCAGAGAAAATGACAACTTGATGAAAAATTAATACTCAGCAATATTTTAAGGTACAGAAGTACTAGAGATGTACTCTTAAACCTCACACTTCATCAGCTCTTTTTGAAGGTAGGTAACCAGTATTCTCCTTGCACCTGTTGTCATAGCCACGCGTGTAGATGCATTTTAGCAATATAATGTTCCGCTGTTTTTACTACTAGCTGTTGTAGGTAGAAATACATTCTTAATTTTTATTGCTCCTTTACCCCATAATATTATTTATTTATTTATTTATTTATTTATTTATTTATTTTCACAAAATCAAGGTACTATTTTATATTTTGGGTTGGTTATAAAGGTGAAGCTACCGTACTCTGAGTCCAAATAGCAATGTGTGTGTGTGTGTGTGTGTGTGTGTGTGTGTGTATTTCAATAACCTCATAGTATAAAACGTAGTAATTGGTGATTGGATATTTGCTAGACTATTAATTCATTTGGCTATGCATATTTCAGCAGTTATATTTAAAAAAAAATATATATATATATATATACAGAGAGAGCACAGCCTTTCAAAGAGAAACAGATTTTAATATGGGGATTTGCTTTTTTACAATATATTTTTCTGACATTTCATTAAAAGACCTGAATATCAATAAAGTGTTGTAACTTGCTTTTTTTCCTGTGAACTGTTGCTTATATAAAAAAAACCCTGAAGAGTAAGAAATATGGCTATTTTATTTTTCTCATTTTACTGGAGATCATGGAGTGGGAAGATAAAAAAAAATCCCATATATTTTTCCATCTTCACAAAATGCCAGGGTGATTTTTGATATGAATACTTAAATATTTGATTAAATGTTATGTGGAAATGGTACTATGCGGGATTATAGTCCATGTTGGCTTTTTATTTTCCTATTTCGCAGATAAAGCTGCCAACCAAACAAGGGAAGGCACAATGACCTCTTCTGTGTTGTGCTTTTGTTTGGCTTGGTTGTTCAGGGATAAAAAGACCCACATAATATACTGTCAGTGAAATGGACTCACTTTGACCATCTGTTCATGTAACGACATGATGGTCATACCTATCAACAGGAATTTTTTACACTTTTTTCTGTACTATACTGAAATTTTCTAGGTATTTGTTTCAGGCAAGTTGCTTTGCATAGTAAGATAAATAGAGGCAAGTGTTGGACAATATATGCCAATCACAAGGGGAAACGTTCTTCAGTGGAGATTGCTAGTACTATTAAAAACTGGAGATGGATGCGGCTGAATCTCCCTTAAGCTGGCTATAGGTTTTATTGTGTTTGTGTCTTGCCTGGTTCCAGCCATCCAGTCTGCAATGGCAAAGCTGCTTGATGAGGACAGGCCACCAACATCTCTGCCCTGACTTACATACCTGCCATGAATAACAGACCTGTCAGCTAGTTAATCATCGCATTGTAACTGTCTCTGTTCCTTCTTAGCTGATCCCTGCCCAGAGGAGTTTAAGTTCCATTGTAACACAGAACTCCTGTTATGTTTCTATACCTGCATTGATTTGTATGCAAAAGCATCGTTCTTCCTTTTTTCATATACCAGTAAATGAGACATGCCCCGCTTCTTTGACAGTTCTTAAATTACATATTAAACAATGTGCTTTTCCCACCTTGTTTATTCTGTTCTTCGCCTTTCATCAATTTGCTTCCGAATGTGAACCAATTAACTTTTATTCATTAGTTACAAAATTTGATTAAGGAAATACTAATATCTACCTCACAATCCTCAGCTTTATAAGTTTTTCGTTGAGATTCTAGTTATTTGAGGTGAGTATTATAAGAGAACGACATCCTTTCCTCAAAATGTCTGTAAAAAAAGGAGATAGACTGAAACCAAAAATAATCTCTAAAAGGCTTTTGCTTGGTATTATATTGTTTGATCCTACAAATAAGGACAATGAACAGAGGACTCACCCTTGCAATGTAAGAATGGTGAGTTTTAGGGAGTTGACTTATAATACTTTAAATTTGATGCTTGAATTAGCACATACAACAATCAGTTGATGTTCTTTGAAGAATCTAAACCTCGTGGAAAATTAAAATGTTAGGCTATGTCTCATTAGAAAGAAAGAAAGAAAGATAGGAAGGAAGGAAGGGAGGGAGGGAGGAACGAAAGAAAGAAAGAAAGAAAGCTTTTTAATAGACTCAAAATACATAAATTCCCAGAGAAGCTACTTATAATTAGACCATGTCTTCTCTCTAAGTGACTTTTTAGCATCATTAGAAACAGTGTTCTCTCCTTTAAGCCTTACTGCATTTTATTGTGCAAGCTCAAGTAATTGAGATGTTCCTGGTTTGAAAAGATTAATGCAATTTTCAAAGTTGCCTAATGTGTAACTTAAGTACAAGTAGAATGATCAGTTCTTTTAAGTAGGATTCATTTACCTTATTTGTTTTATTTGGAAGCTTGTGTTTCTTAATTGAATAAACTATGCTCATGAAACACACTGATAAATAGAGCAATCAAAAGGTACCAGGAGAAACCATGAACATTGTCCATGCCGTGTAAGGGATTTTGTTTCCTGCCTAAATACTGCATTCATTCCTCCTCCTTATCTACCATTCCCTTAAATATCCAGGTCTCTCTTTATATCCTTTAGCGATGACAAGATGTTTTTTATTCCTCTAATGAAGTGGGAAGCAGATTAACATGCTTTCTTCTTGGGAATTAGATTACTTATTGTAGTACTTACTGCTCAACGTATCTTTGTAATACTCCCCAACCCCTACCCACAACTAATTAGTGACTTTCAGAATTAGGGAAAATCTTGTTGTGTGGTGGCTCTATATTTACCAGTGATCAAGGAAGTGTTACTAATACACTTGTTAGTATCAGAAAAGAATTAAGTAAATAAAGGGCCAGATGGTTGAGCCCAGGACCTATCAAGAGCCCCGTATGTGTGGGCTGGTCCAATGGAATGACAGAAACATATTAGCAGGCTAAGGGAGCTTACACTTATAAGAAAAAGGTCGTTTTTCAAATATATTTTCTTATGATATAGTGATTTGCATGTCTGGATCTCATTTGTACTAATGACATTTGAGAGCATTTATTTCTGTGTGCACCAAGAGCCAGCAGTCTTAACATGTATCAGAAAAGCCTCTTAGAAAAGGATATAGTGGCATCAAAGTAAAGCAATTACATGTGAGCATTTTTGCTGGTTCAGAATAGAATCCTGCTTTGTGCTCTCACAAAAACTTATGATTTTACTATTAAAACTTACTACGTTTTATTGAAATTGAATATTTTTCTATTCCAGTAGACTCTATAGCTCATGATATGAGGAACTTGGTTATGTAGTGGCTATAGTGCATGATCAGGTGAGAAACTAATCAATATTCACTTAGCATTTTGTTTATAATAGAAGCATTATAATAGTGGTTATAATAATATTAACCTGAAGAAATTAAGAAAGCAAATTCCCTTCCTTTCTTGTGATTTGTCTTTACATGTACCCATATACAAACATCTTGTTTCACACGCTAATTTTCCATCTTCTTCATTTTTCATCTATTTTAATTTACTTTATCTTTTAAATATGTTTTAAATCTTTTGGTTTCTAGAATAGATGGATGGATCAGTGAGTGGCTAGGTAGATAAACTGACTAAATAGAATGTTCATTTTCTTCAGATTTTTCTCCCCACAATCACACAAATAATGCTAGAGGATATTAGCTAACCATAGGCACCCACCTTTCTTCACTCCATTCCCTTCTTTCTATCTTCCAGCAAATATTTATTGCATTTCTGCTCTGTGCCAGGAACTTCCTCAGTGTTAGATATGAACTGTTGAACAAAAAAGACATAGTCCTTACCTTTGTGGAGCTTATAGTCTAAAAGGAAAATATAAACACATAAATAAACATTACAAACATAGGTATACAATTAAATGATTAATTTTTCTGGACTTCTTAATTCCAACATGAGTTAGGGAATTGGTCGACAGTAGAGGAATTGTCTTCCATGGCCTGCCTTGTTAATAGTAGATCACTTCTAGATTTAAAACATACAGGCAGGCCAAATTAATTCCAATTATGCTTTAAGGTGCAAGTGGCCTTGGGATGAAGACAGGTGAAGCAGTATTTTCTTTTAAGGTGAGTAATGAACAGTCTTGTACACCTGGCTTAGTATATATGATACAGATGACCTCTATACATATTTTCAAATATCAAATTGAAAAATCACAGAAAATTCTAACATTTTTTAAATTACAAAAAATTATTTATTTTAAATATTGTTTATTAATAGTCCCGAGTTTACCTGTGGATTGGGTTGTAGTAATAGGGATGGAAGAGCAGGTGATGGAAATGTGTATTTTTCCTTCTCTTTGGACAAGTGTGTGGAATATTTTTGTGTTCTGATCAGATTGTTCATTATGCTCCCCTTGGATGTGTGTACTGTTTGGCCTTCCTGCCTTGCGTGCTCATTCAAAGGCATTCCAAGTCATTATGCTGGACTTCAGCCTTGTTCAGTAAAAAGGCCATTTCCTCCATCAGCTGTCCACTTGGACATACATTCTTTTTACTCTCAAAAAGGTTTTATATGCATTCAGAGTATATTAGATGGATTTGTCAAATTACTCACAGATAATCAGTTTTTTAAAGTTATAATTTGAGCTATGACCTCTCAAACTGTGAATTATAAGGTTTGACCCTTTGGTTCACTGTTTGACACAGCTGCCATTAATTACAGTTTTTAAAGGACATTTTATTTCAGTTAGGATTTGTGTTATGAAAACAGTTTGAGTGTTTTCCCTCTAACTTTCAGGAATAAATGCTGAAATGTAAATATATATATATATATATATATATTCAAATATAATAAATAATTGGCATGCATATGCATGCTGTACTCAAATGTATTTATGCATATTTCTAGCAGTACGTTAAGTCTGTTTTATATATATATATATATATATATATACACATAGAGAGATTTTTATATAATCTATGAATTAACACTAAGATTATACTTACTATATATAACTCTGATATCAGGATGAGATCAACTTTTTAAATATGTTTATCAGGGTATGAGAGACGTTATTCCTATTTTAATCTAGGCTTTTCTCTTTTCTTTTCCTGGAGCAG